AAGAAATAGCGCACATTGTCGTGAGTTGCAGTAGCTGAATGAGGATCGTGGTATACTTTTGAAAATAGCCTGAAGGTAGTGCTACAAAGCAAGCAGCCACACAAATGTTTCACCTCTCCAGGGAAAAGTAGAAATAGAGGAAATTTGACATATTTTGTGGAGTGCTTAGATCTCGCGTAAACAAAGTTGTAGAGTTTAACAACGAAGTGACGTTAAATAATGTATTCGTAAGGCGTTTAAACGAAGAGACACGGGTAATTAGAAGCACAGAACCGCAAACCCTCAAATCCTGTGAAACCCACATGAAATGGAGGCGGTTGGATAGAGTAAGAAACTGGGTTTTTAGTAATATTCTGCGAAATGTCTATGATGATTCTGAGTTCATCCACACCTAATTTTGACATCATGGTACTACAGTGATGCAGAAGGAATCAGAGGCCATAATATATATGATATTTCTTCAAAGTGTTTTGGTGTTTGATCAACGTTTACGATTTGCTTTGACCAAAGGTAACAAAACTTTAAGAGAATCCGACACTTTTGCCATCTTTTGCTCATTTTACGCTTAAAACCCTCCTCGAGGACAAACAATCCTAAAAACTGATAACACTATTTTTGTTTCACGTGGGCTGAGAAAACAATTGACTAACAAATTTGCTTTGCTTGATGGAAAACAGCGTTTGACGGCACGTAATCTCCGTTTACTTTTCAAAGCATAAAAGACCGACTGGAGTTATACACTTTTGCCAAGAAAATTCACATACAACTACAATATCGTTTGCTTATTTGTTTAGACCATCACACTAAGATGCGTAGAAGCTTCGGCGTATACTAATATATAATGGTACGCCCCTCAGTATTTTAAAGAGATTGAACCAATAGAGTTTTAATTTCCTTGAGAAAATGCCGGCAATGCGAATTAGGTTAACATGGTCAATCGTTCATCTGTGGCACGTGAAACGATTTTAGGGTCACCAAGCAGCGGATGAGTAAACGTGACATTCAACCTGGTGGGCTATGTAATCTTACTTTGAAACGAAAACAGGTGATCGTTTTGTGAACCTTGTGCATTGCTTACGGAAATGCTTAAGAGAACACTGCGTTTTTTCCGCTTCCTTTGTTAAACATCGGAACTACGCCTCAAACTCGCAAATCTGACAACACCGATCGACAAAATGTTGGTCAGTCGTGTGACCGGTTGGCGTTAATCTCCGGCAACGTGAATTAATCCACCGAATATGATGGCGGTTCATTGAATCCATAGTGAGTAAAAGGTAACATGAAACTAGTACTGATGCAGGCAAGGTCACAAAGGCTGTCTTTTCTACTTCGTGGTTTAGTAAAAAGCTGGATATACTTTTCGAATTTGTTCTCCTCCCAGGCACATCCAAACCCATGGATTTTAACCATGTGAATGAAATTTAGAAGACAACCTGGCCAACAAAAAGAATGAAAGTTTCGAAAAGCACATGGCTGAGGGCTAAGAACACAAGATATCTTGCAGCGCATTGTCTCACTGCCACCTATGAAAAAAGATATTATCAAAACAGAATTTAAACATAAGGGGCTGCCTTCTTCGGAACTTTTTCCCCAACAACAAGCCCAACAAGCTTCCTTCGAGTCATAAATTTTGGAAACTATATGGTGCGCTTTCCCAAACTGTAGAAGTTTCTTGTCAGGTAACTGGGGTTTATGTCCAAATCGAGCTCTTTATGCTCCTTCTACATCGGTCCTGGTGTCGCATTTGGAAACACTGGGCAACTATAAATTTCGCACACCAGTGTGCAAAGGCTAACAAGGTGTCAGTTTGGTGGTTGTTCTAAGTACGCAGCCTTTTCCTACTACGACAAATTGCTGTTGTGGGGTGAGTAATTAACATACGACCTTGGGCCTTCTCTAAGTATTTTCTACGTCGAAAGTCAAGAGTCACTTCGTTGTACTGAAAGTTGACTTGCTCCTAAGTGTATACAAGGAACAAAAATTGCATCAAAAGGCTCGTGGAGAATACTATGCTTGTTTACTGATTGACCACGAGACACCGGATGTTCAGTGTTTAGCTTGTTAAAATGGCTTCATCCGAAGTTAGATTACCGGGATACCTTCCTACTGTTTGAAAGTTATGCGATGTAATGTGCGCCATAGAGTGGTATTTTAAACGGTCATTGTATAGCGCCAAAGTAACTGGCTTATTTTACGGGTAGTACAACTTTTGCGGTTGACTAAATCCGATTCTAGTCTAAACAAAATCCATGGAAATCACTTAGGCTTGCGTCATTTGGATCTCTCACATTTTTCAGTGACAAACTGACGATTGACAATATAGCCCATTATGCTGTCCATAAAACGAAGCGACGTTCATTATTTTTTCAGAATTTTGAGTTTTCACGTAAACGCAGACTTGATGATTGAAATGATTGACTTCAGTCTGTTGGACGATTCACTTAACGGGCACAACGCTGACAAATTATTAGTGAAAAACAGTCACATCTAATTGTTGTCTGCTAGGTGTGTAGGCCTAGTAGCGTCACATTTCAAACTGGAGTTCAAGCTTTATACAATTTTTTTGACGGCACAGTGCCAGGTAACGTAGCCGTACTGTAGTTTCTTCAACTGTTGGCAAGCCGCAACTTTGGGTCCATAGGGGCAGAGTACTTTGTAAATAACTTAAAAGGGCCCGTTTCGGTTGACTACGTCACTACTGTCAATCGTGTCTGACAGTTTTCGCTCACTATACCGAAGGTGAAATGAACTGAGACATAATTAATAGTATGGAGATACTACTCACTTGATAAGTAACTGTAGGTTTCAAGGAAGGTGAGATAGGTGGATGAGTCGACGGTCCCATGCTACTTCAGAAGGATGAATTTCCGCGTCTTCGCTATTTGAGTAATACAAAACAGAAGGTTGTGCATGAATTTGAAGATATTTGATGCTGCGCGATTTTTGGGGACTTTAATGAGATCCTGCGGTAGTCTCTGCATTGCACACAACAGGCATCTGTAAAAACACCGTCTGCAGTGCTCCAATGCTCGTTCCAAGCCTAATTACTGTGTGGGTCCTCACCATACTCGCCTACTCAGCTCACGTAGCAGTAAGTCAGCAGCGGCCACAGACCAAAGTGAATGCAATCCCTTCTGTGAAAGATGTGTTTATGGAAGCTGTATTTATTAATTTAAGCATGTGTTCGAATCTTGGAGAGATGAGCCAAGTTAACGCTTCTGTACTTATTGAGACGCGTTAGGTGGGCGTAGAGAGATTGGTCACAGGTTGTTACCTACTTATCGCGCGCTCTCGAGGCAATAGAATGAACTACTCTATAAAACGCAAAATCCCTGGCTAACACTGAAGTCCAATCGACTTGATAGGCTTTCAGCGTTCGAAAAAAAATTAAGCGACAGAATTTCTGAGAGGTAAGGACTGCAAACTTATTGAACCACCTAGGATATGAAGTATATTCTGAAGTACTTGCTGAGTAAACCGCTGTGTTCGGAATGAAATTGTAGCCAATTTCTAAAAGCATGAATTAATTTAGAGTCCGTCAAACATTCTGAAGATACATCGCTCCTCTTTGGGCACAGTGCGTGACGTCTACGGTGGAAACTATTTCGTAGTGCGAATCTACTGAACAAAGAAAGTCGTTATTCTTAAGTTCTTTCGTTTTGTAATTCTAGTTTGTAAGGGAGAAATTTAAAAAAAAACTACAAAATCGCCGTCATTGTCAACCACGAGTTGGTGTGATATTCTTTTGCAGTGTGAACGAAAGTGAGCTAAGTAGTCTTCTTCCAGTGTGTATCTTCGGAAGGAAAACCATAACTGGTTCATTTGTAAGTTTAGCTTGACGTATACTCGCCAATAATAATGAAGTAGCGCCTTCTGTGACAAACAAAGTGAATGATTACTATCATGTCACTAGAAGTTTCCTAATTTTTCAATCGCTATAGATGACGGGTGAGTGGTGGAGGAACTGCTTCAGAATTTCGGCTGATAAGGGCCTTGCCCTTGAATCCAAAGCAGTGAAGAGAGATACGTTGAGCTTTCCAAAACCTAAAACATACACGATACTGCGCCTATATAGGCGTGCATTTTAGGGATCCGAAGGCACTTTAAGTAATATACCAGAAACAGTTTTAGCTTGTCCAATTTCATCCACCTTGAAGACTTCTATAAAGCCAGGGTGATCTGTTCGGCTGTTTGTGAAAAATAAACTTGCCTGTCAGGAATAGCCAGATTCTGCTGGTGAAGTGTGTTTAACAGGAAACTGACATTCTTCAACTAAAAGCCACATTTTTATGCCGCGGACTTCGTTACATATTCCTGACGAATTCCGGAGGAATAAGTTTATTTAAATATTTCAGGTTTCTAAAATCATCCAGAATAAGAGTAATATTTGGTTTCATATTGGCTTCGAAGGAAAAAAGCAAAGATCACGTGTTTCCCAGGTACTGGGTCGGGAATCGTGCACAAAATGTCGTTAATGGTAGCACGTTTCAGTCTGAAAATACTATACCTTTTGATACATATTTTATGAGTTGGTTGTGCTACCATTCTTCACTGAAAAAAACACCATTGCGTCTCTCTGTTAGAACCACTATTGTCTTTCCTAAAAATGAAGTTTACTTAACTGGTATTGTCTTCAGCATTTTGGAGCACTGCAGATAAACCTGCTATTTGCAACAATGTTACGGCTAACGTTCATTAAAGCCACATGCCTCGCTGTTCCCCCCGGGAACACTAGGCTTTTACGAAACACACGATCATGTGTCTGATTCTGTAGGCCGAAACGCGGATGACCAATGACCGATGCGTTTGTCTCAACTTTTAGGCCAAGCCAACTTTCGAACGCTCCATTTCCGAAGCCATGAAACCGCTGGCGATTGGTAGATCATCCGGCATAAGTAACTGGTGGATTGGTTGTGTGTGTGGCACTCAAAACTAACTCGTCTTCCAACTTGGTATAAAATGGTGTATGCAGATGGCATCAACATTCTACACTGTTCGTGATCAAATGTCTCCCTCTTCCGTTCCGAGAACTTTCGCTAGTGGTATCGCCTTAATAATACTGGCTGCAGTGCTTCACAAAACAGAAATCAATGGTGCGCCAGTAAACCTGCCTCCTGAAGCGTTCCAAATCGTCCAAGTTCATGGGGTACCATTCTACAAACTTGTCCGTTACTTCACGACGCAAACGGAGCGTCGTGATCCAAAGGTCTACGAACTGAATATTTCACACTTCCAGTACTACACGCACATCTACCATGCTTGGAAGGAAGCCAGTATTCACTATTCGGCAGTAAGTTACGAGAAACCTACTGAAGCCCCATTATATTTTTACGACAATAGATGTTCGTCACTCATTGCTACCTACCATTTATTCTTTTCAGGTTGCCATAAAGAAAACAACGCGTGAAATTGTCGGTGCAAATATGGTGTATGTAGTACATCATCTGATGAAAATGTATGCCCCTGATACAATTGGCGAAGTTCTGGATTTCGTCATCGCTTGCTATAAAACACTCAGACCATCAAATCATTCTGTCGGACTGGTGTCTACTTTGCGTCCACATGTATCCGAATTAGTAAACAAAGCCATGATCCAGGATGTGACCAATCGCTTTATGCAAACAGCACCAGCCAACTCATACCACTTGCTCTGGGAGAACTCCACGACAATGGTAAGAATAGATGTATTTTTTCAAGAGTGAGCTTTTGTAAAAACAATTATTCTGGTCGTTTGCAACCAGATTACGGTCTAAGATGACATCGATGTTTATTTTTCTTCAACAGGATTCCTTTTTGAAGGATCTGTCGTACGAGAAAATGTTCTGCGGAAACTCGACCATTCCGGAAAACAAGTGTGACTGGACATCGATGGGTCTGCCTCCTGCCGTGAGCAATTCACTCTGCATATACCGCCTTGTGAAACACTGATGAACCGTGCACGTTGCTGTTACTTGCCTCCGAAAATTCTTTCAATTTTCCTCAAACCTCTGCAAAGCATTCAAAATCGTTGTATATCAAGAGTCTCCTTTTTTGTGTTTTTTTCATTGATTTTTGTCTATTTGTTAGAATTTATGTCAAAAAATGTTTATTTTTTAGCCCTGGTTTTCTTCTCAAGTGAAGGGATATGAAAAGATTGAAAACCACTGCTGTGTGGTTTTGGTTAAATTAAGGGCCTCTGGTTTCGCGGTATATTTCTGAAGAAATTTTTAAATAGGTTTTGAACAGTTTCAAAGTGCTTAACTAAGCTCAACTGGCCTGAAAAAACTGGATTCCCTTAGATTTTCCACGAAAATTAGGAATTGATGACATTTACACATATCCTAACCAATGCGACAAAATTACAGCGGTGTGTTACTGATATCCGACTGCGCTGGAAACCTGCGGTTTCATGCGCGATATTCCCACATCCTTTTTTGTAGGATTCATTATTAAGTAGGTATTTCGCTCCAAAATTAAGTACAATACGCTAATCCTTTTCCGAAACAGAAACAATAGGATCATCCATGACCGCTCAGTAATCCGGAAGTACTTTTCTTCATATGGTGACAATGAATATTTAACAACCAAGAGAACGAAGAATTACCAGCTCGACTCCAAAAGGCTGAATCACATCCTTCTAAGCGTCAACACAAAATGTATATATATATATACTGCAATATAGATGCTGGATCATGAGTTCCGAACTGGATAGCGTTTACATAGATACACATACCTGATCTATATTTTCGTAAAAATCGCTGTTTGTGGAGATTATTTCCTGAGCTTGGTTACGTTTCATGTATTCGAAATTTTTTATCAAGAGGTTGAATCCATGCATAGCATCCTTCGGTAGTCAGTAAGAAACATTTTATGGAAGGAGAGCTCACGACAATTGAATAAAGGATATGAAAGAAGGCTATTTTAAGTGTGTCCATAATAAGTCTGCTAATCTGTGCTTACTCACTGAGGACATACTGAAAACAAACCCTAAGTTGGTAGCCTGCTTCGAAAGATATGTTCTGTACAAAAAGTTGCTTTTTATCTAAATAATCTACTTTAATTTCTAATGTAAGTAAACCAGAAATATAAATAGAAAATGGAAAATCTACTTTGAATCAGCATGGCAAACAAAAACAACCACAAGACAAAAGGGTGATAGACTTTTTTCCAGTCGCTAGCTTCATACATGACTTAAATGAATTTCCAAAACTTACTGAGGGTCAACGGAATGAGTTTAGGGAGAATTCCACAATTTGCGTAGATGCAAATCTGTTGTTCTCAGATTGCTACGGCCCATAAATAAATGGTGGTCGTTGGCTTGTTCGCTGAGCTGGGCAATTTGATTGCAAACGTTTCATCACCAATCGAGGTGACATCATCAGTGCGTTATTGTGAAGCGTAGTAGTGCGTAGCGCTACGCACTACTACGCTTCACAATAACGCACTGATGATGTCACCTCGATTGGTGATGAAACGTTTGCAATCAAATTGCCCAGCTCAGCGAACAAGCCAACGACCACCATTTATTTATGGGCCGTAGCAATCTGAGAACAACAGATTTGCATCTACGCAAATTGTGGAATTCTCCCTAAACTCATTCCGTTGACCCTCAGTAAGTTTTGGAAATTCATTTAAGTCATGTATGAAGCTAGCGACTGGAAAAAAGTCTATCACCCTTTTGTCTTGTGGTTGTTTTTGTTTGCCATGCTGATTCAAAGTAGATTTTCCATTTTCTATTTATATTTCTGGTTTACTTACATTAGAAATTAAAGTAGATTATTTAGATAAAAAGCAACTTTTTGTACAGAACATATCTTTCGAAGCAGGCTACCAACTTAGGGTTTGTTTTCAGTATGTCCTCAGTGAGTAAGCACAGATTAGCAGACTTATTATGGACACACTTAAAATAGCCTTCTTTCATATCCTTTATTCAATTGTCGTGAGCTCTCCTTCCATAAAATGTTTCTTACTGACTACCTAAATAAATGTTCTTCAGTAAAAAATACGAAGGCATGATCCTTCTCCATCTTAAACATGGAAACTATATAAAAGACGAATTTAATGATTAACCAGAATTCCTTAACGCTCGCAAAAACGACCTTTTAACGCAATACGATCAGTTCATTTTGCCAACGTGATATTTTATGGTAAAAAAGTATTTTATTCTACCTCTGCAGAAGAGGACGGGAGTTTTCCGCCTAACATGAGTGCCAAGTTGAATAGAGTGATATTGGATTGATGATGCCAGTGTACGATCATTGAACTTTTTCCTCATTCCAGATTTACAAAATTACGGCGGGTAAAACTGCTCACTCTAGTGCTGGCTTCACAATATCACCGTGATACTTGAGTGTTTTTAGATCTAGAGCCAACTCCAGGAAAACTATATCTCGTGATCACTTGCCACGGGCAACAAATGTTTGTGAAGTTACACGCCACAACTTTTTGTCGTCCTGAATTTCATCCTCCCTGATTCAGTAATTCTCAAATCTTTAGTCGGATGCAACGTATTAGGCTCGTAGAATTGCACGCGCGGAATCTCATCAAGGACTGTTGTTTAATCGAATTTGGTCCAATCGGTTCCAGTATATTGTTCCTTTAGACTCAATCGGTGTTTGCCAAACTAGACTGGTGGATTCTGACGTGTCAACAAGTACATTCCGGACATTTTCTTCTTAAGGCCATCGTTATACCACGTATGTGGCGCTAAAAAGATATTAGTACTTTACGTTTATCATGTACTTCCTGACAAGCAGTCATTAAGTTAAAATGGAACAAGCTTGAAAATGCACTTGCTCACTTGTTGCTGGCATTTGAGCAGTGAAGTTTTTGACTAAATTTATCTCTAAATAAGGAATATTACCAGCAGAAAAGTTCAGTTCCGATTCGAATCCACTGTTAATTGTGGTAGCACTACTTAACGAATGAAGCTTTCGGCAATTCTGTCCGTTTTGTCTCGTGAAATTCAAAACGAATCTCGAAATAACTCCCATACATTTGCAATGAGTGATATATACAGGCAGTCACTTGAATGTGGGAAAAGCAATCCATAGTGTCTACTGTTTGCCTAAGTTCAACTTCCTCTTGTTTGATGTGGTCTCTAATAAGAGTTCCCTGTTTAAAACTTTATGGGATAATTCTCCTATCACTTTGTCCTCTTCAAGAGGGAAACTGGTATATTTCTGCATGTTCTTAGTCTTATTTTAGTTATCACAGGACAATTCTGTTTCACACTGCACGAATTGAGCAGCAAGATTAATTTTGACAAATTCACGAGACCGAGGCTAAAGTCGGTTCCTAATAAAAACGATGTTAAACAGAGTTTTGAGTTAAGTTTGTGTAACCTAAATTTGTTGAGGTCAGTTCAGTAAGTTCAGCTCAGTGTAAGCAAAATACTTTTGACAGTACGTCATACTTACGATTAAGTTGTGAATGTCTGCGATTGCCTCATGAATGTATATTGCCACACAAAACCACTGGATTCTTCTATTAGGACTATAATCTGGGTAAAAGACTGCTTGAACAAACCTCTGTAAATTCTTAATTTTCAGTTTACTACACAATCTGCTCCTCTCGCTGCACGTGACTGATCTATAGTGGAATTAGTTTGAAAAAAAGTAACTTTGTACTAAGTTTATTATTATTACACTATTACATGAACATTAGAGATGTGCTTCGCCTGTAACCCTGGCATCGCGAGAAAAATACACCACTGCTGCCTTTTTGAGGTAAGCATTGCTGTTTGAAATAAATTAAAATATGATGTCGCATACCACGTTGCCTGAACAATTATTTCCGATTCGATGAGAACGCAATTCCCCTTCTTCCCAACCATACTGATCTTCGTGAGCCGAACCTACACAATGGCCTTTTATTTGGAGTTTCTCGAGTGCCGACCGGATCAACGGCCTGTTAATAAAAATGATAAATATGCTTTCAAACTCGAGACCAGGATTCTGAGAAAGCCGGGTATCGTTCTAAAAAAACAACCCACCTCTGGGTGGAACACTATTTACGAACGCTTATGCCAGAGCCCAAGCCTAATGGTTTGACCTACCCTGTTAGTTGTATCAAAATGCTCCAAACAACAGGTTTTATAAAGCGAAATGTACGCATCCTCCTGAATTACCAAGGATTTGATCTTAGGGAACATCGAAAACGCTTTAAATAATTTGCTAAATTGAGTACATCATGTTGGCCGGCAGAATCCAGTTTCAAACCGCACGAAAAACGTTTAGTCCGTTTGGCACCTTTTCTAGTGTGTCACTTCATACAAAACAAAACTGATAGGCTATTTACCAAGCTGCCAGGTAGTTGTGAATTAAACGGACTCTAAATTACTGTGCGTATTCTTCTACCAGCAACCGTAAAACCAAACAGATGGTTTCAGCCTCCTCATGGTAAGGACAACGAAAAACACCCTTTTGAGAGCAAGGACATTTTGTGGGATCAGTTATTTTATCTCGATGATTACAATTTGACAGCAGAACGTTTCTAAGAAGTATTGGAGATTTAGAACGCCGTAGGTTCTCAGAAGCCATTTCCCAAAGCAGTCTCACGCACTTCCTGCACAGGATATCCGTGTGACTGGTCACCCTGACCATCAACTAGACCAAGTGCTACCATCCAGATAGGGCAATGTATTGTACATTGACTCTATTCTGCATATGAAACTATCGTCACAGAAAAAACAGGGGTGTGTCAATAAGCATTGATTCATGGGACTTTAAAACAATAAATATTAGAATGTTCTTAATGTTTCGAGATTCATATGGCGCTTGTTGAGTTCACATCATTGTTAATGAGTTCGAACTTCTAGTTGGAAATTTTCTATGCAATAGGTTTAAGGTGAAGCTTGCATCTATGTATGTCTTGCGCTTTCACCTTTCGTCCTTGATAAGATCATTCTTAATAATCTATCAGTAGCATGCTAGAATCGAAACTGTCTAGCCAAGAACCACCGAAATTACGATGTCAGGTAAACTTCACACTGATTGTTTTGTGCCAAATACTCACGCCTGCTCCTTATTTCTTTATGTTTACTGCGTTCGCCTTAAACTAACCTATACTAAAAGCATAGAGACCTGGTACAGCTTTCGGTTAATCGTGTGG